GCGTGAGGAGAATAAGTGAGAGTGGGGAAACAGTTGGATTCCGGTAAGGATTTTCAAAGCCTTGAGGTCTGCCGGAGATGCAGCGGTTGCGCTGTCAGCCCACTTCCCATTCTCAATCGCCGCCTCTCTCCGCCGTCACCTCCACTCGCCCTATATTCAATACAATTATTTGTTTTAATTTTCAATTCAGTCTCGTAGTTTATACTTCATTTGAATTTAATTTTTTATACTTTAAATTATTTCATTTTGAAATTTTCATTTTGATTTGTATAGTTTGGATAACTCTCGCAATTTAATCTTTAAATCATCTTTTGGTTGCTAAAAAATTCGAAACAAAGTGTTAATTCATTGTCATGCAGGTCACATATAGGATATATTCGATGATTTGTAATGGTTGATTAAATGTCAAATTGCAACTTTCAAAATCAGAAGTATCAAATTGAAACTAAATACAAACTACAGGTTCTCAAGCATTTAAACTAATTTAAAACTAGGTTCAAACCACAAGTGTCAAATTCGTAATTGTTTTTCTTATCTTACCAATTAAGATATTAAAATTATTCTCCCTGGTTTTATATTATTAAGTCAATCTCAAGTTTTCCTTTGCAAACAAACCGATTTAAAAATTAATGTAGTTTGAGATGATACTAATTGTTTTTGAAGAGATAATTTAATTTATACGCATTGGAAAATGTCTTATAAAAATAATAATTTTATTATAATTTTAGATGCATTTCTATGAATTGGTATCTCTTACTTATCACCATTAAAAAAAATTGACAAATAAGATAGATGAGTATAGAGAAAAAATAAAATAGGTGTCCATCAGTTTTTTATACGTATTAAAAACATCTAAGTTTTATCCAATTCATAACCAACACGATGTGAATGGGAAGACAACCACGACGACGACTTGAACTCCATCTCAAAACTATTCATTTAGAGTTAGCAACCTTTTGCCTTTTTTTTTTAACCTTTTTCTTTTATCTCTTTCCTTACCTAACAAGCGAAAGAAAATAAGTGACACACAATTATAAGAACAAAGACTTCTTTATTAATTCATTGGACAAAGAAGAAGGAGCTGTGAATGGTACATTTTACAAATCTTACATTATTATTATTGTTTTTTTTTTCTATGAGGGTCACAGAAAAATAAAGTGGGGGAAAGAAATTAGAAAGAGGCAAAAATATATTATAAAAAGAAGAAGTTAAAAGAACTTGCATTATAAGAAAGAAGGTGACGTCATGAGAAAAATGAGTGTGGAGGTTCCTTTTGGTTTGGGGCATCTGCAGGGACCATCATCTCCATTGCCATCTGCCTAAGCAACCACCAAATTAATGGGTGGAAAAGATTGCTGAAGGCAACTCCCCATCAACACATGGATTATATTTGCTTTTAAGTTTTAATTATATTTTACTTTTTTTTTTAATGTTACAAGCGTCTACGACATTTTGTTGTCACGAAACTAGGTGACTATTACGTGGTTTGAATTTATTCTTACGAAATTTCTTTACTTTCTTTTTATTGGGTTAATTTGTGATGATAAATCCTTAAACTTTAATTGTATTATATTTCGATAAAGGTTAAATTATAAGTTTGGTCTGTAAATTTTTAAAGTCATATTTAATAGATTGTTGAACTTTAAAAGTCTTAGTTTGATTCATAACCTTTAGGAAGTATTCGTTTAAGAACATATTTAGACATTTTTTTTTATTTTATAGATTTATTAGATACAAAATTGAAAGTTTAGGAACAAAATACCAAGTTTCTATTATGCTCTTTTGATAATGTTTCTATTTACTGTTTCTTGGAAAAGTTTATGAGAAACGAAACAAATTTACCGAACGCATAAGTTTCTGTGAATGATAAACTAGAAATAAGAAACATAAATGTTATCAAATAAGTCCTTAGAATCAATCTCATCCATCAGCATATCTTTTTTTTTTCCGTTTCAATCACATGATCAATAAATATCCACATAAACAAGTATTTAAAGCTACTTTCAAAATTCGGCTAATTTAAAAGTCTAAGAGAAATTAAAATATATCATTCAAAGCCTTAAAAAAATATATTTTGACATGGATTTCTTTTGTATTACTACTATATGTACAGATAAAGATTCAAATTCATCATACATGTTTTAATCCATTCAACTCTTCAGATAGGCTATTTTGACAAGGGTCTCAAAAGAGTGAAACTCCCGAGATCGGGATTCAAATCTGTGTATCCACCAACAAGTTTTGGAATCAATATCCAGAATTGACTCCCAACCAAGGCCACAAAAAAGGAAAAAGAAAACAGAAAGGTCCACAGGAAAATGATACCATAATGTGCAAACGCGTTTTGGGCAGATGTGACAGCCTCACAAATCGTCAAACTTCTAATAAAGGCACGTCGGTCACCTTTTACAACTCACTTCATTCATTCTTCCACATATTTTCTTCTTCTTCTACATCACCTTTCCCAAAACAGGCAAATTATTCATTAATAACACAGAATTGAGAGCCCATTTGGCTCTGTTTTCAACATTTTGTAAATGTATAACAGCTATGGCATTGCAAGAACATTAAAGGAGAGAAAATAAGCTTATATATCACTGAAGAAAGAGTTATATATTCCTATGACCTTCAGGCCAAATCTTCCATTCTTCAATTAATAATCAAATAACTTAGGCAGACTAGAGACAATGGCCCAAAACAGACAGCAAAAGGGGGAAAAAATATGAAGAATATCCATCCTCTATGGATTATCAATTAAAGCATTACACGAGTAAATAAATAGAAATGTGAAATATCTCGTTAATGAACAGAAGGAACCATTTTTACTGGCATCTCTGCTCTTGACTTGCTTGCTGGTCATCTGATCCCTCTGGGCGGCGATGGGCGCCGGAAAATTTAACAGCAACAGGGAATTGTAAAGAAGACGGTTCTTTTGGTCTTATTCTGAATCCCTGACACTCTCGCTTGTCAGCCACAGTTTCTTCTGGATGATAAACACGACTTCGTCACTCTCCAAATCAGAATCCGAGTTGGCGTCGGCGTGAGCCACTGTTTCCCAGTGCAATGCAGGTAGGTACTTCTTTATCAAATCTACAACAGATTGCTTGTCCTTGATAATGATAAAACCTGTGGGTCTGAGTATGCGGTCCACCTCGAGCAACAGGTCCTCTACGCTACATTCTTTCTTCTCGATGTCGGAGAAGACGGTCCATGCATGGAGCAGATCGTATGTACGAGGATATGTTGAGAAGGCTTCGCACCTGGTAAAAGCATATCAAGAGAAACTTTGAACATACTAATTTGATGGAAACTAAAATTACATTCCGCAATTCCTTGAAACCTTGAGGATAAGAATGTGCATTTTTCAGTTGCATTACCAGTTATGAGTAGTGCCTATGAGGCCTCGGTCATATATCAACTTCAGAGTATTCGGTCCATCTTCTGGAACAACATTCATCACCCAAACCTTCTTGTCCTTCAGAGCAGCTCCAAATGATCCCATATATGCCTTCATGTCCATCACGTTCCTAACAGTATCCGCTTCGATCTTTGGACTCATTAGATTCCAGTAACTCTCGACTCTACGCCGCCAACTTTCCTGCAACAAGACGATAAAGTTTAGTTATTCGTTCATCCAGATTTCAATTAGCCAAATTTACCCAGGTCATAAATTACCATGTCTTTTTCAAACATTTCAGTTGAATAGCCAAAATCCTGAAGTCGTGGAGGAGGTGAAGTTAATCGAGCTGGCCAAGGAGCCAATCCACTGCCCTTGGCTTTATGATCATCTGCATCGACAAATCCAATGTGATCACTGAGCAAGCATATGGATTGAACCCAAAATGAACGTTAAAATTTAGCATGCCAATATAGTTAACTGGCAATAGGGTGTGATACATGTCAGCATATGCGAGTAGCACAATGGAAATCTCACTACATACTTTGTAACAAAGAAAGCAGGAGAAACCAGTTCCACTTCGTTCAAAGCAAGTAGCAGGCTGCTAATATATGCTAAAAATCATTAACCGAAGAATGTCATATGCTCTATGCCACATAGCTTTAAACCCAACAAATTAAATAATTTCCATTGGCGAAGCAGCGGCACATGGTTAGTACTCCAAGTTAGCAAGTTCAATAGAGGTACTTATAATAATAAAAATAAAGTATTCACATAAATAGCATAAAATAAATATTAATTTTTAAAAAATAGCACAATCAAACTCAAATGTAATTATAAAACACAAAAAGAAAAGTCACACTTATGCTATATTTGAAAGAAAAAGAAAAGTTGCATATTATTTTATGCTATGCGGTAAAATTTCTCTAAGAAAAATGATGCATTTAGTGGTAGGAAAACAAAAATCTAAATCAAGCCAGTTTATCAATAAGGGACTTACGGTCAGAGTAAGGAGTGATACAAGCTTCCATCTGCACACCCCAAACAGCATCAGGATCATCATCAGATCGGCAGAGAGGGGGACGAGTCCCAGGTTCTCTTTGTAGATAACACTCATTTGTTAGAGGTTTTTGCCAAATCACAGTCTGATTCCTCTTTGCAGCAATTCTCCAACACATACGACTCACAAGGTTACTCATTTCTCTCCATATTCTGAGATCCTCTTCATCCTGTGCATATGCTTCTGGTGATGAATAAGCAAAATAACCTCCAGGTCTAAGTAATCTATCTAGCTCAAGAAGAAGAATCCCGTCTCTCTGAAGCCAATCTATACGACAACGAGAACAGTGTGCAAGTTCAAAAGATCTGCTTGGGTAAGGGAGCCTCTTGGTTCCTAAAACACCAAGGTATGCAGGAATTCCTCTTTCCAAGGCAAACTGAATTTGATTTTGGTGAACATCATTTGGTGCTAAGGACATTGCTATAATATCAGAAGCGAGAAGATATCCTCCAAAACTTGCGACACCACAACCGACATCAAGAACGGTACGCAATCTTCCTCGATTATTTAGATTATCATTTGAAAAGTTGAGCATCTGAAAGATGAAGGCCAACATTTTCATTTAATCAATTGCTCGTTAAGCATTTTGCACATAAACTCATAAACTTGAGTCAAAACCATGAATGTTATAGATAAAACATGATATTCCCTAATAACATGCAAATTTGAGTCATTTAATAAACTTCTCATTTGAAACAAAGTCCAAAAGGCAAACTTTGTAGTCAAGATAGTTTCTAGACAATAAATAAGGGTTCAGAAATCTCACATTTGCAATTGAAGCAATGTACTTATCAGCTCCATAGTGAAAATGAGTACCTCCTCCAGGGAACACAATCTTTTCACCTTTGACAACCATCCAGTTTTGATCAGATTTCTCATGTGCGAGATGAGTATGAGGTATATTTGCTTTCCACACTTCATCTCTGCTCTTTGGCCACTTAATTGGGACCTGCAGCAATACATTGTTAACAAGTAAAAGTTAGAAACCAACCATAGATTGAGATAATGCAGTTGGTATTACGCAAAACCTTCAGGTGATGCTAACTGTTATCAAATTGCCAAATTGCTACCTTATATCCTGCTGGAGGAGGAATCAGGCAATTGAACCGCCTCTCTGGTGGTGGGCAGTGTCTTTCATAGTGTTCCATTAAAGTAAGGTCCAGTTTCAATCTCATTTGATATATGAGATGTCTGTCTAAGCAGGGAATTAATTCCGAATGCCGGTCATCACAGACCTTTGAGATAAGGAGAGAAACTACATGAGGGCTATTCAAATCACATCAAGACTCAAAATATTGGAAGTTGAACAAAAATTAAAAACAAAAATGGAAATGAACTCTAATGAATATTTTATTCGCATTTATTGAGAAAAGAGAGTTGTTTGTTATTAGCACCTACGAGTCAAGACAGTTACTTACAGGATAACTTTTTGGTACGACATCATCTTCCACATCTTCCTGCTCAGCTGCAGTTGAAGATTCTTCAGAGTCTTCATTCCCCATCAAAAAATGGCTCAAGGATTTGCTGCCACGCTGCAGAGCTAATGCACCACGGTCTTGATTGCCAAAAATGGATCCATAATATGCATATAGAAACCCAAGAAATATTGCCACAACACAAATGGTAGCGATTAAACGCTTCTTCTGTGTTCCATCGGATCTTCCCCTCGTCATTTATCAAGCTTTAAAGTTTTTCAATTATATACTTTGACCCAAGTATGAAAACAATGTTGCATGTATCACTTCAAGGGAAACTGGATAACCTCCCCTCCTGAAGCTACAGTAGAAAATGACAATAAGTTTATAGCAAACCACGAAACAAGCAAGAATCGGGTAGATTGGAGAATAAGAGGTCCGGCCTCCAAAATGTCATGAAAGCATGAGGTTCCTCTACAGAAGAAAAGGCAAAAAGTACAAATATGTAACCCTGTTTTACTTGAAATTATTGAAATTGACTTAAAGTTCAATTTATTTATCGCCTCAGAAAAGCCGAAATGCCAGGTCAAAATGCACTCAAATGCAGAATTTAATTACTTGACTTGCAATCCGTTATCTACCAGCAGAGAATTGAACTTTTTTATCTTAGAGAAGCTTCTAGCCCAAAATGTCGGTATAGATTAATTACTCTAACTTGTGATAAGTGTCATTAGCCGTTCCCGGAAAATAAAGGGTTAACAAATCTGATATTCTCAAACACCATGACGTAAGTTTGAGCAATAAATCTTCTTTCAAGTCTAAAAAAAATGGAGGGAATAAAACACATAACATTCTTATATGCATTCAAGGATTTTGCAGCTGAAGTTCGCATGAAGAAGAGAGAGAGAGAGAGACTCTATCCAGTACATTCACGCAACTGAAGACACGATAAATTGAACCGACACTTGCGTAAGAAGAACAGAAGAAACAAACGCAAGATTCGACCTAATTGAACATCGGATACGCTCAAACGATCATCTCATCACCAAACCGACATCAAAATACTAAAACAGTGAAGGAGACGAAAGCAATGTGTGTCGGTGCACTCAACCAAATCCATCCCCAGATCTAAAAAATCGCGAGAGTAAAATCCCACCCACAGCCCATAAATGCATCAAGAATAGCCAATCAATAACTCATCCAATCCAACCAATCACCAAATCCAAATCAAACGAGATCCATAAACCTAAACCAATTGAGATCCAAAAAACCAACAAAAACACACCGCAAACACAAACCCAAATCACCGAAAGTCGGAAAAACAAAGAAAAACAAGTATACAGCCGCGGAATCTTACTGGCACCGGATCGGAAAGCGAATGCGGGAAACGGCGAGAGCTTGGTCCAGTGACTGATTGAAGCAGAAATGAAGGAGAAGGAGAGAGAGAAGAGGAAGAAGAAGAAGAATGTGAAGGACGGAGAGACAGAAAGAGAAATCAGATCTAGGAGTTTCGGTATGATGCAGAGATTATACTAATTTGGGGAAGGACCTGGTCTTAAGTACTCAGTGCTCTGCCTCTGCCACAGAGAGATGAGAGAGAGAGAGAGAGAGAGAGTGATGTTTTTACAGAGTGATTGCGTCGCCATGGACGAGGGTTTAAGTTTAATTTACCTTATAGTTATCGTGTGTAAATATAAATAAATATATATATATTCAGATTTAATTTTAATTAAACTCCCACCCACGGCTTTGCCTTTGGCTCCTAAATTCAAGCGCAATCCTACTGCTAGATTAAATCATTGATTATCTCCACTAATTAGTAATTATGATGCTAAATAATTATATCACTTGGGTTAATTGTGATTAACCCTTTTGTTTTTTTGGCTCAAATCACCACCCTTCATTTGTGATGTGGTAACGTGGAAAAAAGAAAATAATAAAATAATAGATGTTTTAGTCGAGTTTGTTTGATAAGGTTTTTATTTTTTTTATTTTGGTACAGTAATTATTTATTGTTTATTGTTTTTTATTTTTATTTGGAAAACAGAAATAATCGATTATGGTTTATTGGGCTCTCCATTCTGAACTTTAAAAATAAAAAGTTTATGTGAAGATTAATTTCTTAAATTAAATATTGAAAGTTTTTACCTTTCATTTATTTCAAACATTTATTATGCATAAGTATTATAAAATGATGGTTTTATTTATGTTTTGAAGAAATAGGAAATGAGAATCATAAACTATAATCCAAAATTTGTGTACAGTTTTGAAAACGTGATTTAAAAACCGAGAAAGAAATTTCTACACATTTTTTAAAATGTGATTTAAAAAATAAGAAACGAAAAATATGAACAGCTACAGAATATTTACGTTTCTTACAAAATTGTAAACGAAAAATACGGATGTTACCCTATATTGTTTTTTTCTTTGGGTTTAGCCTTCATTGTCTAAAAAATTTTAATTTGATGTCTTGTGTTTTTAATATTTTTATATGTTGAACGTTGCCGATAGTGAAGTTATTTGGTTTGATGTTTACTGAGATAGCATCATTTTAGACTAAGAATAGAGTGTTTGGTGACATAAAACATAAATATGAAAACAAATGATTTAATGGAAATTAGAATTTGTTTTAATATACGTGTTTGGTGACAGATTTGTAAATTGAATCTCAATTTAAAAGAATTGTCTATCGATTTAGGATATATTTGCAAACTATTAATAATTACCAACTAAATATTTAGTTTAATTTAAAATATAATTAATTTATTAATATTTTTGTTATAAATTTGGTATAATTATTATTTTACAATGTTATATAATTTATTACAATATATTATATTTTACCTGTTTTAATTTTAAAAAAAAATAAAATGAGTTTATAATTACATGTATAATGTAATTCTACATTTTAAAATTTTATTAATATTGTTTTTAGAATTTCGACTACTAGGATAACAGTTTTCATAAACAAAACTGCAAAATGCTTCACCTTAGCCGAAGAAAATTCATAATTCCTTCCCAAAATGTTTGAAAAATTGATTGAAGTTTTTTTTTTTTCTCTTTTGTGGTTTTTGTTTTATCCCATAAATGGATTAATTCTTTCTCCAAGTTGACAACCATGTTTTAACACCCACTAATAGAAATGATAGATATTTACCTAAAAGAATGTTGTTGGACAATCATTTAAATTTTTGCTCATGATTTTTTAATACAACGGTTGCTTGATATCATAATCAGTTTTTTTAATTTTAAAAAACATCTCTCTCTATATATTATTTTTTAAAAAGAAGAAAAAGAAAAAGACAAAAGTTTCACATTCCCATACAAATATTGACATTAAATATACAATTTTTTTAAGTCTTAAAAGTTTATAACTTATAAAAAAATTTAAAAAAAAATTAAAAACAGCATCACGTAAATAAAGTACGAGGATATTCCTTTGATTAAAAAAAATAGTACGAGGATATTATTTATAATGTTTTTCTTTTTAAATTTTTAACAGCACGGTTAAATTTGTTTTTCTCTTTTCAAAAAGAGAATTAATTAATTAATTGTGCTGTCAAATTTCGGCAGATTGTGTCTAATGAGTCGCTTTCCTTTATTTCTCCTTTATCGTTGCTTTACAGTTGGATTTTGTAGTATTCCATTCTCTAATCTCTATTCTGTATTTGATAAATTTAAATGTCGCAAAATATATTTATTTAATTTATTATTATTATTTTTATTCTATGAGATTTGTACTTAGTTTCTATTTCGTGATTGAGTTTAAAAATCTATCATTTTTTGTTGATAAGATTTAATTTTAGTTTCAATTTGGTCATTGAAATTTCAAAAGTAACATGATTTGGCCATACCACTAGTTAATCTAACTACATTCTTCGTTCTCTTTTGTCTAATAAACATACGTTAGCCGTCACATTATTATATTTTGTTAGGTCAACTAATGGTCGACTCAATTTATAGATAAATTAAAAATAAAACCCAAACTTGAGTGATTAATAAAAAACTCAAACTCAAATCTCAAGGTCCAATTTAAAAACTAAATTAAAACTTCAATGACCAAATATGTCATTTTGAACATTTATGGACCAAATATAAACTAAATTTAAATCTTAGGAACTAAAAGTGATATTTTTTAAACTTATGGACCAAATAGAAATCAAATCCAAATTTTAGAGACAAAAAATGTATTTTAATATTTAATAATAATTTTTTCATTAAACTATAAATTTGGTCATTTAGACTTTTAAAAGTTTTGTATCTAAGTCTTTTGAATGTTTAATAGGTTCTTGAAATTTTATGGTTTTTGTTTATTTGGTACATGTACTTTAAAAGGTCTTTAACAAGTCACTAAAATTTTTAGTTTTGTGTTTAATAAGTCTCTATGATTAACTACATCAATTTAGTACTTTTCTCGTCAACGTTAATTATATCACTAAAGAATTACATGGAAGGTTAGTTTCAAGTAGATTTGAAAGTTGTAGCATAATTGTTAACGCAGCAAAATTTAACATAGTGATTTAATAGTACAAAATTGAAACTACATATTAAATCCAATGACAAAAAAAAAAGATGAATAAAAAAATAGACAAACTTATGAATTCAATTACCAAATTTATAAGTTAGACATTTTTCAATAACCATTTTTATTTAAATTATAAACACTATTTAACTTGTGGTTTTTTAATCTTAGGATGCTTTCAAAATTTAAGTCTAATTGTTTAGAATACAAAAAGAATTTTAAAAAGCTTCTATTTGTTTCTTTTTTTTATTTGACTAGTTTAATTGTGTTTTAAAGAGATGAAAAAAAAGAAAAAAAAACTAAAAGAAATTATGTGTCGGGAATCATTTTTAAAAACATAAAATTAAAAATAAAATCATCATCGAGCAAGAATCAATCCAAATTTTATTTCAATTATAATTCAAAATAACTGTGAGTTCATTTGATTTTAAGAGAATATTTAAAACGATTCTTGATCCTTTATTTAGCTCATTTTCTTTTATCTCACATTTAGATTCGTAAAACAATTTTAACTTCGAATAAATAAATTCCTTCACATGATCAATCTTAAACTTATAACAAATTGTAAAATTAACACACGTTTAAACTAAATTAGAAAAATAACTACAACTAAACCAACGAATTTCTCAAAATTTGACATACTTAAATCCAGAGTATTTAAAATTCAGATCTTTTTTCATACGGAACTCATTGACGTAGGTATGAAATCGATATTTTCATTATATATTAAAAAAAAAAATTGACGAAGTATTATAAACTATCAACAAAATATCAGATATTATGAATGAAGATAAAATGCTTATTTGTCAATTTAAATAATTTTTATTTTTATAATATTTTAAAACATACTCATCGCCTCTTATTTATATTTCATGTCGATATTTTCAATGTAACATTTCAATACTATACCTCAATCCAATGTTAACAATATGTCTGCTAACATTAACATATCAATCCGCCCGTATGACTAACGATTTTTTTATTTTTTATTTTTTAATTTCACCCCCTCAATCTTATAATTTGTTGGGAGGAAAAAGAAAAAGAAAGAAAAAAAAAAAAAACTCCGTCGGCAATGACAACGAAAGTAAAATGGAGAATTAATTTGTGTCAATTAAAATTTTCTCAAAAATAAAAAAGGTCAATTAAAGTTGGTATGGATCTCAAATATGTAGAGTTCACATATGCCGACAGCTGTCTTCCCTCTACCATAAATATTCATCCGATTATTGAATTTTGACTGTATCTTATTTATTAAAACTTCCTATAGATTCCAAAACTAACTTTCTAAGGTCAAAACGTAGGGATAGTTAAACGATAATTGACATATATCATAAAAGAAATGACTTTTTTAAATGAACTTCCTCCTGATTCCGACGTAAAGTTTTTGTAAACGTTCTAAAAATTGAAGTCAAATTTTTGAAAAAAGGATGGCACCTTAATAATTAAACTTCAATTTTATGTCTAATATTATATAATGTGCTTATTACGACTTAATTAATTTAGAATATACATGTTAGACATAAAAATACAAAAATTTAAGTTACATTATTGATTATTGGACTCGATTTGGTTAATTGACAAGAGTAAAAATGAAAAACAAATGTTTGATAGGCAGATTTATTAAATTAAAATCTAGTTTTGATAACCTAAATATCCCATTAAATTCCAATTTTATCTTGATCTGGTCGAATTGAAGAAGCCAAAACACGAAGAAAAAGAAATTAAGAAAAAAATCTTTAAGTTCTGTGCTAGCAACTGGGGTGCTACAGGAAGGAAAGAGGGGCAGGACATATATATAATTATAACTTTTAAGGGTATAATTGCAAACAAAATTTAAAATTTAAAATCTAAAATCTAAGAATTAATTATGTTCCAAAACAAAATTAGAAATTCCAAATCATTTCAATCCTCATAACTTTCAAACTTATTTAAAAAATAATGTTCATATGTGATATTTTAAACAAAGACCTATATCAATATGTATGGGGCTATAGATTCAACTTTCCAATTTGAATCTAATGTTCTCAACAAATAGAATGTTATGTTGCAATTTTTCCTCTTTTAAATAAGTATAAATTGAAATAAATGGTTACTTATTAAAATCTATCTTCTCTCCAAATAAAATAATTACTATCGAAAAAGTTTCAATTTTTTATAATAAACAATAGTTACTATAAAATGTTAGTAATTACTATAAAATAATTCCTCTCCTCCCTCCTAAAATAAAATAACTACTATTAAAAAATGATATATTTTTATTTTAATAAGTAATACTTAAACGGAAAAAAAATATACAATATAGAAGAGAGAAGAGAGATTTTTAAAAAGATTTTAGGGAGCTTTTTTTAAGATGATTTTAAGGAGATTCAATAAGTACTAATTGAGAGATTTTTAAAAATATTTTAAGGAGGTTTTTTTTTTTGAAGATGATTTTAAGAAGATTTTAATAAATATTATTTATTCAAAGGAGAGGATACATTTCAATTAAGTACCATTTGTTTAAATTAAAACTTATTTAAAAGGAAAAAATAATGGTAATATAACATTCTATTTGCTAAAGAAATAAAAAAGATTAGAATATTGGGAGTTGAAACCTAGACTATAGCTTAAGCATTATTTTGCTTATTGAAAGTTATTTTTCATTTTAAAAATAAGTTTTAAAATTAATAATATTTTAAAAAATATATCCTTAATCAAAGAGAATATCGAAGAAAGCCCGCGGAGCATGGAATTTGAATTTGAAGTTAAAGCGTGAAGCAGAAGAAACAAGGCAAATATTATTATTATTTTATTATTAAAGCTCAGTTTCTCTGAGAGATTCTCCATTTTTTCCGGCCGGTTACAAGCTCTCGACGGCGGCGGCACCTGAAAGCTCGCTCTTTATTCCCTAAATTCCACTTACTACATATTTCCATTATATTGCCATTACTCCTTCTGCCAGCCTCTTCTCCTTCATTCATTCAGTCTCTTCTTCCCGGCTGCGACAACCTCCCCGGGCTCAGCACCCTCAGCTCCTGGCGCGCGTACTTCAGCTGCTGCGCCTCCTCCATCGAAATCCGGTACGAGTTCATCAGAACGCCCAACGGCAGCGACCTCATCTGCGACAACCGTCCGGCCAGCAAGTTCGTGATCGCGTTGTCGTTCGTCTTGAATGCTATCCACTCGAATCCTCGATCGCCGGCCTTTTTCAGCACCACGAAGTTCTGTGGAATCATCAGTACCTGCCCTTCCTGAAGATCGCCGTCGAACACCGAGCGCCCGAAGTTGTCGACCACTTGCACCCGGGCTCTGCCTCTGGTGGCGTAGATCACTGTGTGGCTGTTCACGGAATAGTGCGGTGCCAGCATCGCGTTCTGCGGTGGAGATTTTGAACAAATTAGCAGTGTGAGGGTTTTTCGAAATTGGAGATTTGAAGAAATTAGCATTGTCAGGGTTTCTGAAATGGGAGATTTCATGGAAATAGCGCTGTTAGGGTTTTTCGTAATTGGAGATTGGGAGAAATAAATGTTGTTAGGGTTTTTGAAATTGGAGTT